TATGCTGAAAACTATGGTACCCAGCAAGATCCCTACTCTTCTGCACACACATCATATTACACACATCATAATCAAAAAGTTTATAACATCAATTCCGATAATATACTATATTCACTATTGTTATTGTGGCCTTTCAGGTTTTGTTTAAGAATCTGAATGTTGATTTGAAGGAAGTAAGCCCATCATCCCTTCTTATGGACAAAGTGAGAGAAGTTGAAGGAAGCCCTGATTTTTCCAACAAGATGTCGGGTCAACTCAACAACCACCAATGGTTGGAGAAGTTAAAAAAACAAAGTATTATCTTATTGATTAGCGATTACTGGTGTTGAGCTTTAAGCAATTTCAGGCCCTCTATTTATTAATCTTTTATAAGCTAGATTGTTGTTTTCTTTCCTTTTTATAAGTTGAATTGTGGCTAGAAATTATAGTCATCTATTCAAAGAAGGTGTTGGAACGTGAGTTCAAAATGATGACCCTTTTACATATAAATTTGATTAACAGATTGTACAATGAAATGCAAAGAATAATTATGGGAAGGAGGTTAAGTATTAATCTCATGAATGCTGCAAACGTATTTGTTTCTCTCAATTCACCTTTTGAAGGACCTGGCACGTGTCTATATTACAGAACCTGTAAGTTTTTTTTTCCTTTCTTTTATGGGTAAACTACAGGAAATAACCTCCTACTTTATTACTCTGTATAGGATGTATATGTAACAATTCTTTACACATGATATCAAACAGGAAAATGAGGTAGCTAACTAAACTAACTACTTCAATTTTCATATACTTCAATAAAAAATTAAAATATATTATGTTTGTTAATGATTTTGTATTGCAGGTACCTTTTCAACACTTTGCTGAGAAAATTGGTGGCTATCTTTTGAATAGGAGGAGTTAGTAGGTATTTAGACATGCATACCAAAGATAACATTTTGTACATAGAGTTCTTGGCACATAGGAAGCTAGATAATGCAATTGTATATAAATGAGTTCATTTTTTTATAACATTTACTCACTACTGGAATAGTTATTTGTATTTGACATATTAGTGAAATGAATTATCTTTGTTATTTATGGTATTTTATTTTGTATTATGAGATTTTTAATGTATTATTTAATTTGAAAATTAGAAAAATCTATAAATAATATTTTTTTTAAACATTTAAAATTATGATACGCAAAAATGTGTGTCATCTTCATTTATGACATGGCCTTTCTTGACAGTGGCTTTCTTGATACGCATTGCGTGTCATTAACACGCGCGTCGTAAGGTTACGACACGTGAATGCGTATCGTCTTCCTTTATGACAGGGCCTTCCTTGATACGCATTGCGTGTCGTAAACGCGCGTCGTAAATGCGCGTCGTAAATGAGCGTCGTAAATGCGCGTCGTCTTTCTTTATGACAGGGCCTTCCTTGACGCGCATTTGCGCGTCGTCTGAGCCTTTTACGACGCGCAATGAGCGTCGTAAAAGGCCTTTTTTCTTGTAGTGATAGTAGGGATTAGTTTCCCTGCCATCAGTCCATAGGACCGAAGGGTAGGTCAGTACCCGGATATGCCTGACTATATGTTTATATCTTGATGTTCTATGCTAGTGGTAGGGGTGGAATAGTCCCCAGTTACCGGTTGAAAGATACCGATGACAGTTACCGGTTGAAAGATACCGATGATGATTACCGGTTGAAAGATACTAACGATGATTGCCAGTTGAAAGATACCGATGATGATTACCAGTTGAAAGATACCGATGGAAGTTATCGGTTGAAAGATACCGACGATATTGTATGGTATGTGGTATGATGAGGGAACTTACTAAGCTTTGTGCTTATGGTTTCAGTTTTGGTTTCAGGTACCTCTTCGTATAAGGGAAAGGAGCCGGCGGCGTAGCATCGCATCACACACACACATGATTCCGCATCAGACTTTCTGGGATTGTACTCTGATGTTCATTACTTTTGATGTTATGGTTTGGGACACAACATTATGATTTTGTAATGTGCTGCTTTATTGACAATGTTATGGTAAAATGTTTTATAAATTATTAATTCAAAAATGAAATTTTTGGGTTTCAAATTTGGGATGTTAGAAAAGTCATCTGCGATTTTAGTATTCTATCTACGAACGTACAAGTCGCTAAAGCGTGTGGTTTACCGACATGTACATTCGCGGGTTGTTTCTTTTTATTTGTTTGTTTTTTCCGTATAAATACATTAATCTTTGATTGAAATCGCAGATGAACTAAGTTTATCTGCGATATCCTCTCATCCTACCTGTGATTTTGTGTGTGTTTTTTTTTTTAAATTTTAACTACAAAATTGATCTGGTTTAACTACAAAACAACCTTATTATATTTAAAATTTTGCATAAAATTATCAATTTGGTTCTTATTTCCTTGTAATATTTGTTTAAAACATCTCTAATAAAATGAATTCTCTAACAAAAACTTTGAAAAATATTTGAAAAACGAAATCGTTCATAGTGTCTCTAGAGAGAGAGAGCTCTCCAAAAAATAAGTTTGAAAAATGAAAGAAGAAAAACAATATGTTTTTATACCCCTGAAAAATGGGAAATTACAGATGAACAAGTAAAAACATTGATGGATTGAATACATCTGTGATTTTGATAACTATTTTTGTAATTTGAGTTGTTGTGGCTATTTTCCACAAAGTGATTAAGGAATTTAGTTATATTTGCAATTTTCGCTTTTTCAAATCATGTAACTAATTTTAATGATTATTTTACCTAAATAGATTAAAAAGAAAAAGAAAACTAAAGGTTTGTTGATAACCTACAAGATGTAAATGCTTGGAATATAACTCATTACAATCAGGCAAAGAGTGTATCGATTCTATATGTTATCATGTAACTAACATTGATATTTATAGTATTTATTTAAGTTTGGTATTATAACGGTAGTTTCTTGTTTATTTCTATGGAATGACAAATGATTCAACGAAGCCTATTCCTATATTGCAACAAACATCCTGGTTTCAAACTTCTTTAGAGGACAAACTCAACCTACGTAAAGGTTTACAAACAAAATCCCACCATATATTGCACAAGTTTAAGAGGCACCCATTTTTGGGTTTTGCAAGGATTAAACTTCCAATCTGCCATTGGCCCATTGCTATTAGCTAAGATATTGCAATTGAGTTTTTTTTGGCCATTTATTTTTTTTGGATTTATATTAAAATAATTAAATAGATAACTTTTATTCGTTAGCTATGAATTTGCAATATCTTATTAGGTTTATACTAAATTCAAATAATATAAATAAATATTTAAGTAATTTTTATTCGTTTTTTTGGGTAATTCGGTTTCAATATTAATAACCAAATCCAAAATATTAATTCGGTTTTAGTTCAAACAATCCAAAAATTTAAACAAAATAGTTCAATTCAAATTTTCCAATTGGATAATTAGTTCTATAGTTCTTTGTTTATTTAATATAAAGTTCTTTATTTAGTTTTTAAGATCCAGCAAATCATCTCATGGGCTTATTTATTTATAATTGGATGTGAGACTAAGCAAAATAAGTTATGCCCGTCATTAATGAGCCATGACTCACTCACTTAGAGCACTAACTACTTCAACATAATTTCTTCCAAACGTTCTTAAAATCGTTTTGTTGGTTCGATGCGAAATTGTCATCTGTCTTCTCCAAAATCCTTTCTAATAAACGAAGGGTTTTTTTTTTTTTTTTTCACTTATCACTTTTTCAAAGCTTTTGCCACATGTCATTATATGAGATTTTACAATTATTTAAATTCTACATGTCATTATGTGTTATTTATTTTTTTTATTAATCAATAATAATTCCACTAATTAATGACTCTACTATTATATACGTAAAATATTCATTCTATTTAAATGTTTATCAATTTACAAATATATTTGAATTCAAACGGATGCTCTAATGACACAATTAATGTCGTGTATTTGATTATACATTTAAATTTTTGCATTTTTAATTTGAACTCTAATAGATTTATTATTTATTCAAATGTTATAAATAAATATATATATGTATAATACATCTCTATATCTACCCTAATAAATAAAAAAGAACATCATCTTCAAAGAAGTATTAAAAAATTTTGATTCATAACAAATATTTACAAAATGTCAATAATTTTTTTTATTAGTATGGATTCAATAACCGCTTTAATATCATTCGGTTTGTATTTATTCCAAAAGTTAATTTAAAAAATATTTAACGTTTACACCTTAATTTTCGACATCATTATTTAAAATATGTCAGTAGTCTTTTATTCATATAGATTAAATTACTTACATATTCTTTATGTAAAATTTTTTTAAAAAAATATATATTTAATATTTATACATTGATGTTAAACTTTTATTTTTAATAAACCATGAATATTTCCCACAATTTTATGGTATAAATAAATAATTTAATGCCTCTATACTTGTACTAACAATATTTCATAACTGTCTTGGACATGTTCTTAAACCAGCTATGATGTAAAAGTAATCACTCTTAATGCCACCTAGTCTATTTAAATCTGTAATTATTAATTTACTAAATAAGTTAACTAAAAAACTAAAACCAAATAAATCAAAATGACCAACTCAATCACACACTATTCCATTTATACTAGTTATTGGATTTTGTTTTTTTTTTTTCGCTCGTTACAAAATTAACTAAAATGGGCTTATTCTAGCCCAATAAGTAGCTAACATTCGGGTTAGATCCGGATCTTTTATACTGTTAGAGATTTGTTGAAACTTCCAAAAATAGTTCACGTGCGGCTGCTAAAATAAAAATCACTTCACGTGGGTGCCATTTGCCAACTGCCCAAAAGTCAATAAACACAAAAGCTTAATCTCGATGAAATAAAATGACTAAATTACCCTTTTTCATCCCTTAATAACTACATAGCAAACGAACCGGGTAAAGGGTAATCATGCCAATTAACACACTGAGCCCATAAATAAAATGTACACCTAACCAAACTTCTGTTGGGTAGTACAAAAATGAACAAAGCTTTTTTGGTCTTCACAGTACTAATATGGCGCGCCACCGCACAAGCACCGCCTGCGGCGGTGGTGCCACCGGAGGCTCAGGGCTATCTTGAAGCTCACAACAAAGCAAGAGCCGACGTCGGCGTGGCTCCACTCAAGTGGAACATCCAGCTCGGTAAAGCCACGAGCTTACTGGTGCGATTTCAGAGAGATCGACAAAACTGCCAGTTTGCCAACTTAACGAGCGGGAAGTACGGCGGAAACCAGATGTGGGCCACCGGTGAGGTGGTGACGCCGCAGACGGTGGTGGACAACTGGGTCTCGGAGAAGACGTATTACACTTACGCCAATAATTCATGTGCACCTAGCCACCGGTGTGGGGTGTATACGCAGGTGGTGTGGCGGAATTCGGCGGAGCTGGGCTGTGCTTTGGCTAGGTGTTCTAAAGATCAGTCAACTTTAGCGATTTGCTTTTATAATCCGCCGGGGAATGTGATCGGAGAAAGCCCTTATTGATGAAGAAGCAATAAAAATAAGTTTTGTTTTGGGGGTATTTTCTTGAATTAATTTATGTTTAAGAAATGAATGTTGCATCTCAGATGCACTAATTACCTGTACTTTATTAGTTTATTAGTAATATGATTTCCAATTTTCAATCATCTAGATGAGATGCTCTTATTCTGATCAGAATGAAAGTGATGAATTTCGGACAAGGTACAACTTTTAAAGCACAGCGTACAAGTCACTAATTAGATTATCAGGGTAACCACAATATACATTACTAGAAGTCTAGAACAATTTTCATTAACCAAAAAAATCACGAAAAAAATAAGAGCTCAAGCTCCATTAATGGAGGAATTCACAAGTTCCTTAGAAATTAAATACCTAAAAGCAAAATCTTGAGGAACCCATTCGATCTTTTTTCTTGATTTTGATAGCTGATGTTTCTTTATGCTTTTCTTGAATTTATCTTGTAAATAGACTTGGATCATTTCAATGATACCAGCTTCACATAATCCTGAATCTTTCCCAAAACTATGAAGGATTTTTGGTAAAAGAATTCTTTGATCATTTCCTAGACTGAATGTAGCCATGATAAACTCTTCTTTTGCTGTTTCTAGTTCTTGACACACTCGTTTTGGAGTGTAAACACGAACCTACAAGAACATGCTTCTTGAGTTCAAGTTAATCGAATTTTGTTTAATTTTAAAATGTAAAATTTGTACATACGGAAGGATCAGAATGGCATCCTGAACAAAGTGCGAAGTGCAAAAGGGGTTCCCGATGGTCAATTGCATATGCTTGGCGGTTATCTCCTGCTTTAAGTTTCGTTCGTGAAGATAATAACAGACGAATCCACTACAAAATCAAAACATCAATCTATAAGAAAAGACATGATATGAAATGAAATCAGAGAACATGGTGTACTGTGTTTGATATATATTGGACTGGATTTGTGTCAATACTGTGTTTCACATGTACTGGACCGTGACCGATGTCGTGTGTTTGACATGTATTGGATCGGGACTGATTTCAATGTGTTTGATATAAATCAGACTGAGACTATGTCAATACTATGTTTGATATCTATTGGACCGACTATGTTTGATATCTATTGGATCGGGACTGATTTCAATACTGTGTTGGACATATATTGGACTGTGTTTGACATGCATTGAATTGGAACTGATATGAATGATGTGAATATTGCATTTGACATATATTGAACAGGGACTGATGTGAATTATGTGAATATTGTGTTTGATATGTATTCGACTGAGATCGATGTCAACAAGAGACCAATATATTCCCATCTTATGTCAATAAGTTTATAAAAATATTAAGGATCCACCTGTCCAGGACGCAACATTCGACATCCTAGAATCGTGCTTTGAATGACATCTGCACTTACGATGTGACCACCGACATTATAAGCCGCCTACATCAAATACAAAAACTAAATTTATTTTTACGATCCATAATATCACACATACATTAATTGTTGACATTTGTTGGTTAGTATAAAAGATAAGTTTGTTCCACGATAAAAGGTGGAGTAACGCTCCATGTTTGTAAAAGTTTAATGTTTTGCTTTCAAAGTGCACCAATCAAAAATCAAAATATTAAACACACATTTAAGGTTGGGGCTAAATCTTTGGAGAGTGATTGCGTAATTGAGAAATTAATATATGTGATTGTACTATGTGGAAGCCTGTGATTTTCTCGAGTTTCCCACGTGTATTGTTTTGTTTTATTAGTCTATTATTTTTCGTTTGGTGGATTGTTGGGAATCTTTGAGACAATTTTTCCAAACGTAGTCGTTTGCAAGAAATGACTAGTCAAAGGAACATAGCTTTTTCTTACCTTCAACAGTAGAAAGACTCTCTTCATATTGTTTTGTGGGATCCCATAAGCCAAAATAGCCTGGTAATCCAAAAAAAAAAAAAAAAAACAATTCTTACAATCTAACTCTATATATTGTGCTAAAAAAAGATCAAAATTTAGAAAATGGGAAGAAACTTGATCATACATGCATCACTAACGCGTTATGTATATTAATCCAGAACGCTAGCTTCTCTTCGTGGTTCAACTTCCTAGGATTTACCTTTTCTAATCGAGAAACAAGCGACCTGAAAAAACACAACATAATTTAGTCCAAATTCATAGAACCAATAAATTTTGTTAAAGAAAAGTGCTTAATCATATAACCTGAAATGCTGCAACAAGTGTGTGATTTCACCAAGTCTCTGATTATCATTATAAAGACATCGAACTTCAACCATGGTACTATATGGTCCACTAAACTCATTAATCCCTTGGACATGAAAAGGGTTATCTAATTTCACTTCAAATGACTTTGAATCTGTTCTAAACCCCGGACCCCACATCATATCTAGGTGATGTTTCGGTGAGAAACCATTCATGGATGATGAAGATGATGTAGGAGATGAGAGGCCAAGAGGTGGTTCGGCAAGCTTGCAATATATAGTCGACATACATTTCACCATGTCTTCTGAAAGCTTGTTTGGTGTTTCAAAAACATGATCCGAAATCCGAGTGCCTAAATGCTCCGCTAGACTAATTATATTTGAAGAATTTGTTTGATCATACTGTATAGCAACCATATGAATTCATAAAGTTAATGTATCGTAAATGTTATTATACCCACATCAACTAGACATAGTCTTATTTGATCTGTTTGTATATATGTTGGAGTCTCCCTCTATTGGAGAGAAACCAAAAACCCTACATATCTAGTATGGTATCAGAGCCTGACACTCTGATGAGACACTAACAGTATATATAGAGGTGAGTGGGACTGTGTCTACCAGATGTGATATACAAACAGTATTAACAACATTTTAAAAACAAAATCAACATAGATTCTGGAAAATCGAAGGTACCTCCATCATGGAAGGTGGTTGTGAGTAACAAGCGCGTAAAGATTTGCCAAAAATCTCGGGTGGACAAGTTCTCGTTACCGAAGAGTGGCAATGTTGAACTCCCGAAACTAAAAGTCCATTTTGTTCCTCATTTTTGAAACATGCATTGACATCTTGCCGTGAGTTTGTTTGTAATGAGATATCAACCCTACAAGTTTCAAGATACGTTCCTCGTGGTGTAATCAATGGTGGTTTTGATGTTTGTTTGTTTCTTAATGGGGATGAATATGAATTTTTTTGATCAAAAGCCTTTTGGTACAATGAGAGAAGATATCGCTCCAAATGTGACACTTCATACTCTAAAACCGCAATTTCTTTAATAATCTCCATTGCCGGCTGCAATCATTTTTAGGGAAATATTATCAATAAATAGCAATTTAATTAGATTTATTTGTGTATTATATCGTCCTTCTTTCATTTCTTTTGTTACATCATTGTACTTTCATTTTATTCTATATTTTGAAAAAACATAGCGAATTTTAGCAGTGAAAATTGTTTTTTATTAGGATGACATTGCTTTAATTATGTGGATTTTTTGAAGTATTCTAATAAAAAAATGAAAATAGTAGCCATGAGCCTATGATAAACTATTCGGTAAAGTAAGCTATTATTCTGCATTTAATCTTAAAAAGTATTTGAGAATAACGAGGAAAAAAAGTAAATCGTTTGTAAAAATTAAGGCCTTAACGAAGAATGTCCCTTTATTAAGTCGTTTTATATTAAGTAAAAAAACACAACTCTTTTATAGATTATCTCTGATTACAGTCTTTCCTCAAAACAAAAAATAAAAATAAAAATAAAAATATGAAAAAAAATAAAGAGCCACTACCTTAGAAATAGAGTTCTTCAAGTGTCCCTTATCCTGATATTACCCATAAACACAAGTACAAAATCGAGTGTTAACATTCAATAATTCTCACCACTATCTTCATGAATCTTTTTCTTATTCATAAAAAAATAAATAAATAAATAAATAAGTAAATAAATAAATAAAAGGGGTTAAGTGAAAGCATACATACCAACTTAACACGTTCAGAAGGTTCAAGACTATCGTCTTCAAAATTATTCGTGTCTGGAAAGCTGCCATTGTTAAGAACATTTAGCATCTTGGAGTAAACCCAATAGCATATATATAACAGAATAATGAAGAATCACAACTCATAAAATTCGAAACTTTGCAGAAATTTATACAAAAATGTTAGATACCTTTTAGAACGCTTGTGAATGCAGTTCCTTCTTCCCATTTCAGCCATACTACTACTCGTACTACACTCTTCAAAACTCATATCTGCAAATCAAAACACAAATCACCACCATTTACAGTAAGCTTTTAGTGACATGTTCCATACAAAAATGGTTAAAAGAAAAAGTACAAATAAAGAGTAGAAAGAACTTACCAAAACTATCCAAAACTGGAACTTTTACAGACCCAAAAAGGAAAATAAGAAATGGGTCCAAAAAATCGACGTCAAAACCCCAACTTTTTTTCTTGCACTACGGTTTCTGAACACAAAAGGAGCATAAAGAATGGAGAATAAAAGAGGGTTTATCTTAAATGTGAAGAAAAAAGCGAAATCTTTAGCTCTTTAAAACTTTTCTTTATGGGTATTTGTGGAAAACGAAAGGGTTCCCGATGAGTGAATGAAAAAAGATGAAATCAAAGAAGATGGATGAATTTAAAAGAGGGTTTGTTGTATTTAAGGATAAATTTGTAGATTTGTAGAAAAACGTATCCCACATTGTGATTTCTAGACTCTATTTGTTGCAGGGGTAGTGGGAGTTGGTGACCGTTTCCTTTTACCTTTGTACCATACCGCCATTTTTATACACGACTCTCTGTTTAGCAATTAGCAAACAGCCAAAGAAGGTTAATTTATTAACTTAGATTTTAAGCACAGCCCATGTGTGAAAAGGTCCGATAATGGACCTAAAAGGTGTTTTAAGGTTCATCCTTTGACTTATATATATATATATATATATATATATATATATATATATATATATATATATATATATATATATATATATATATATATATATATATATATATATATAAAAGGTTGAGAATGAGAGAATCATTCTCAGCCACTCATTTTATTCAAGTATAAAAAGACATGATGACAAACTTGTAAATATGAGAACAACCTTTAATATCAAATACGTATCTATAGTTCAAACCCATTCATCGTTCATCATTCAAATTTTTTCTCCAACTTTCAACAATCATCCAGATTTCTTCGATTAAACCATCATCAATCCATTTTTTTTGATCGGGTAAAGCCGTAAAGCGGATACGAAGTAGATGATGGCGAGAGGAAAACGAGAAGCGAATCGATGAACGAACACAGCGGGCTTTGCAGCAACCCTTCGTTAACCTCCCATCGTCGGCAACAAAGGAGACCAAGGTGAAGATTCTCCGGTGCTCGTCTTCGTCTGATTAAGGGGGAGAAGCACGGAGGTTCGTCGCCCGACTCGCAAACCGTGATGGTCTCCGTGGTTTTGACTAGACCAAAGGAGGAGGTGTTTGGTTTTGCTAGGAGATTGCGATCGGAAAGAAGCCAAAAGCGAGGGTTTGGTTTTGCTAGGAGAATAGGTCGGATGTCCGCTGCCTCTCATTTGCTTCCTGCCGGCGAGAAATGAAGAGAGAGAGGGTGGCGAGGGAAGATGGCATCGGTGTTAGTGGGTCAACGACCCAAGGCATAAAAGGAAACCGAGGTTCCAATCGATGGAAATAGTCTAGAAGATGGTGGCTTTTGGCTGTGGTATCGATGGGAAGTGCTGAAGGATCTCGATGGGGCAGTTGCTGCTTCAATTGGTACGGTCCTCTTCTCGTTTCTTTTATTTTGATTGTAAATCAGTTAGGTGGGTGTTTGGGTGATCGATGTTCAACGGGTGAGTAGATGAGGGAAAAGGATTTGGTCAGGTTTGGTGTGTTCATCATAAACAGATGGAGAAAGGGGTTTGACTGGAAATCAACGATAATGAAGGGAGTTTGGTTTGTTTCATTTGACAGGAAAGAAAACAGATGACAATGATTTCATGGATGTTTGTTTGCTATTGTTTAATCTTGTTTGGATAGAAATGTATGGTGTATTTGGTTGGAACATTTGACAGGAAAGTTTGTATGTTATTCATATGTGAATAACATATAAAAATTATATATATTTGTGAAAATACATTATAATATTTGTATGTGAATATACTGTGTAATATTCATATGTGAATATACTCTGTAATATTCATAAGTGAATATATTATCTAATATTCACAAATGAATATACTATGTAATATTCACATGTGATATACCATGTAATACTCTGTAATATTCAGATATGAAAATATTATCTAATATTCATAAGTTAATATACCATCTAAGATTCACAAGTGAATATACTATGTAATATTAATAAGTGAATGCATCGTCTAATATTTAAATATGAATATACTATGTTTATTATATGCTATATTCATATATGAATGATACTTAAATTGTAAAAAATAATAATAATAATAATAATAATAAAATAATAATAATAATCATAGTTTTTATTCATAACTGAATAACGAATGTACTGTAGTAGTAAAAACTTGATTTATTTTTATTCACTTATGAATAACGATAGCTGAAAATATAATATATATATATATATATATATATATATATATATATATATATATATATATATATATATTATCTTAAAACTATATTAACATAGATGTCTATTTGTAGAGAATAAAAAATCATGAATTTTGGTATATTAAAAATCATTTTTCGATAAAAATAACTTATTAAAAATTAAAAAAAAAACGAAAAAACTATGTTTTTGTATATATTAAGGTAATGATTAGCATAGTTTAACGAAACATGTTTTGTTGGAAAACACATGTCTATTCCTTTCCCATTTCTACTGGTACGATGGAGGTTTTTGCGGAAAAAATAAATGAGTGACTAAGAATGATTCCCCCAATTCTCAACCTTTTTTTTTCTCAATTGAACCCTCATATATATATATATATATATATATATATATATATATATATATATATATATATATATAGGGTTAGGTTCATGTGAGACGGCCTAATTTTGTGAGACCGTGAGACTCTTTTTTTTTTTTTTTTTTAGTTAATTCAAGTTACAAAAATATTATTTAAAAAAAGAATTTTTAGATTTTTCCATTTATTTTGCATTTTAAAATTATTTTTTAAAATATGTTAGTGTAATATTTTATTGGAATATTTCACGTATTTTTCAAAAAAAACGGGATTTTTTTTTATTTTATTTTTTATTTATTTTAACTAATTCAAGTTCCGAAAATAATATTTAAAAAAAAGAATTTTTGGATTTTTCCATTTATTTTGCATTTTAAAATTATTTTTAGATTTTATCTCACCTTCTCACAAAATTAGAATGGTCTCAAATGAACCTGATCCAATATATATATATATATATATATATATATATATATATATATATATATATATATATATATATATATATATATATATATATATATATATATATATATATATATATATATATATAACAAGGGACTATACTCCTGGTATCACTTTCATGGTTTTGTATCAATCTGTCCTTTTGTCATTTGAGGAGCTCGTTAAATATGTAAGCTTATAGTTAAGTAATCTAAATTGATGTTTTCTATTGTTTAATAAGTTTGTAAGCTTATAATTAAGAATCTAAATTGATGTTTTGTATTATTTGATAGATTTAATCGGGATGTAATTTAAGTACATAACTTTCTATAGGGGGAGGGGTGCAGTTCTTTCTATTTAATATAACTGAAACCAGGAGATATGTATGTGCTTCACCATGGGATGGAGTTTTTTTTTTTTTTTTTTTTTTTTTTTTTTTTTTGAATTTTATTGACCGGGTACTATAAACAACAGTTAAAGAAATGACCATATAAATTAATAAAGTGATTACCTAATTAAAAAAAAAAAAGCAAGAACATATGTATAGGCAGGATGTATATTTTTGTTCGATCCCTTCGTTAGTAGAACAAATCCAAAAAACAGTGACTTAAATACATAGTCGGCACTAGAGCACGGGCAAGCTGGGCGATCGCCCCGGACCTCACAAAAATCAAGGGCCCCTGCGAGTTACGGTTACTAGTATATATATATATATATATATATATATATATATATATATATATATATATATATATATATATATATATAGTTTTGGATAATATAAATTATAATCAGAAGAAATTATACAAATTCATTGGCAATTGAGATGGTTATGCGCATATATTTGTATAGTGGAGGCCATGTGTTTGTCTTGTTTTTTTTACTTCACTTATTTATTTATTTTCTTTTTGGTGTGCCTTTAGTGATGACGTTTCATTTTTCAAGAAGCCATCTCGTTATACATGAATTCACAACAGTTTCAAGAAGTGAATTCATCATGACATCTTCCTTGTTTCATAAATATGTAAGAAAAAAATCGAAAACCTGCCATCTTGTTTCTCCATTCTTTTGTTTCTGTTTGTGCGGTTTTTTTAATACATACATATCCATTATTTCGTAATCCGAGTTTTAGTTTTTTATTGATAAATTAATCTACAAGTACTTAATTCTGATTTACATTGGTTTCTGATTCCTACTTACCTGCATAGATGGTCTTCGGTTATTTCTTACAAATCTTGTTCAGTTTATGAAAGTCCTTAGGAATTGTTTTGGTTTATGACTCAAATTCATTGGTGTTGCTGCAACATTTTAATGCCTCATACAAAGCTCCTTCTTATAAACCAATAAAGCATACTTTGGTGGTTTTTTATTTTTGTTTTGGGTCTGGACCATTTTGCCCTTGGGGATTATTCGGTCCTGTTGTGTGTTACATGGAGCTGTTGTGTATAGAGTTAAAACAATCATGGATCTCTAATTGCATTTACAATGTTAATTCAAAAAGTTAGATGTATTTTATCTACCAGTTACCATTTTACCCCTGATTCTATTTAGAGGCATTTTGGGCCTAATATGCGGTTGTTGATGTGTTGAAAATGTTAAGTTACCTACAAAAATTCATTTCGTAATGTTCATGTTGCTGGCCTAATTACCATTTTGCCCTTGGGGGTAGTTTTTTTATAATACTCTTTGGTGTTGTAAGAGTTGGTTCACTTGACTCAATGGTTTTTTGAACTTAACATATGTAATGTCTTTCAACTAAATCGGTAAAAAAGAGCTAAAATTTGTTGTAATTAACTCACTTATCGTTTGTGTTTTTTTAAATGTTTGTTCTTGATGGGTTTACAAGAATCATTTTATCTAAGTCTAACATCTTTACATACAAATATTTTCAATTTTCTGTTTTTTGTATTAATTTTTTTTGTTAATACTTTTTTGAGATACCTTCTTTTCCATATCTTTTTATATTTAAAGGGTCTCATTTGTTATTTTGCTCCGGGCCTCAGATTGGCTTGGACTGGCCCTGCTTAAATAGTAGAAAGGTAGGGGAACACAACAAATAAAACACATATTTGGTTCTGTTCAAAAACATTTTGCAAACCAAACAACTTTTTAAGGCTTGCTTTTTACTGCGGTCGATATCTAGCGATTGACTTATTCAACATTAAAGACTCTAGCTTCCATTGAATGTTGTAAGCAAGTAAAATACATATACCTTTTTTACTTTTCATTTTCTGAGGGCTTTTTAATGTAACACAATTAATTACCTTTGAGGTGACTCCAATCCTACCTGGTTTGATCTCTTTCTTGATCTGCAGTAGTAAACAATTATATTATTTATTCCATGGGATCAAATCCATCCATGTGTTTCTCCACAACTTATTTGAGCACGTAATGAATTTGCATTAGTATCCCCAACCTTGAAAGTGACAATACCTTTAATTTTATAACATATTGAAGTAGGTTGCCTAAATTGGTAATCACAGTAAAGTACGCTGCTATTTTGTGCAATCTACCCGCGTACACACTTTGCTTGTTTTGGAATTAGAAGATCCACCAATGTATCTTGAAAAACAATATGTCATGTCTGCTCAATCATAAGAAGAGTTATAAAAATTATTGTTTCTTTTAAATATTTACTTATATAATATAACATTATATTAAAATTTGTACTACTCGTGAATAAAATTAGATGTATCAATAATATATAAAATCCAAAACTATATAAGAGTCTACATTGATTTATGATACTCAAAATAGTTAACACAATTTATGCAACTGACAAATCATGTCACCACTTTTAAACCAACTAAACAAATGATTGTTAAAATATTTTCATAAATTAGGAAAATTGATTTATCCAAGATATAAATATCATCAAAAAAATATCCTACATACCTTTTCAAATCTCTCGGGCATCTCAGCCAAAGGCTCCATGGTCACAATGTTGGATGACAACAAAACAAGTTAAGCGCTTCAGACAAATATAAAAAAACAAACTTCGGTGAACTCACAAAACTTTTGAAAAAACGTAAATCAAACTAACACAATATTTTACGTGGTTCGGTCAAGGTGACCTACGTCCATGGGTGAACGAGACCGGGGGGGGGGGGGGGAGAGAGAGAGAGAGAGAGAGAGAGAGGATTTTATTAACTTTATAGAACTATTACAAGCACTCAAAA